GCGGCGAGTCCAGGGTGCGGCTGCCTCTCCCAGCCCCGACGCGCACTCGTCCCGGCGCGGAGGCGGCAGCGACCAGGCTGGCGCTGGTTGCCTGGTCTCCCCGCGGAGGCGCAGACCGGCGCGCGGGAGGTGGCCACGGCCGCCTGGGCTCCAGGTCCCGCTCGCTGCGCCGAGTACTTTCGACTTCGGAGATAGGAGGGCTATCGCCTCCCCCACCCACCGCCTCCGCCCACCACCCACCGCCTCCGCCCCTCGGAGCAACTTTTCGCGGTGCCTGCGAGCTCCCCCTCGGCGCGGAGCCGGCCGGCCGGGCCCGCTGCGCGCGCGGAGAAGGCCGCTGCGCCCTCAGAGCTGGCACGATCGCGGGTCCAGAACAATGGCCCGGGTGTCCCAAATGGCAGGAGCGCTGGCACTGCCCGCCGAGCCGTGGGTGGCACAGGAGAGGGAGCTGTGTGCGGGGCGCAGAGCCGGGAGCATCCCTGGATGAAGTCCCTGGAGCGCTCGCAGCGCCGGCGACATCTCGATCGGTGCAGCCCCGAGCCCCCCGGAGGCCGTGCCGCGGTGGCAGCGAGGGCGACGGGGCCGCCTGACCCCCGGCTGCGGGGCTGGAACTCCGGGGACCTCCAGCGGCGCGGGCCCCGGGCTGCGAGCGCGGGCCGAGCTGGGCGGTGAGGACCTAGCCTCTCGGCTCCTGGGGGGCCGCGCGGGGGCGTCTCCAGCGGGTCCGGCGAAGGCGTCACTCAGCCCCAAACTTTTGCCGCTCGCCGCGGCAGCAGCCGCCCGCAGCCCGGCTCCGGCTCCGGCCGCGGCGCTCATTTAAGGTGGCGCGAGCGTTCGCCGAGCCGGCCGGGCTCTGGCCGCGCTTTTGTCCCTGAGGTCCCGCTTGGGCGCGCAACCTCCTTAAAGAAAAGCACGTGGGCAGGAGCCGCGGCCCCCCGCCAGGTGCCTAGGGCGCTGGCTGACACTCGCGGGCCGGATCGGGGGCGGGACGCGTGGACGCGACCCCGCTGGCCTGGAGGCCAATGAAGACCCCCTCAGCTGGCCGCACTTTTCGTCCCTCCTGCACACCTTGGCTCCCCCTGATCCCCAGGACCCGAGGACTCCCCACACCCAGCTGCCCGAGCCACCGGTCCCCCTTAAGAAGTGCTGACTGTACGGCGGCGCCAGAGGGCCAAACTAAAGTCGGTTTCTGGAAACGCTCTCGGGGGTGATTTGGAAATTGTCTGCACCCGCGCACGCACCGCGGGAAGTCTTGCCAGCCTCGTCCAGGGCCTGGCCGAGGTCCCCTCGTCGCACCCACCACCCGGTGGACGGCGTGCGCACGGCCATCCCCTAAAAAGTAGGGGGAGCCTCTGGAGCAGAAAGGACGGTCGAAGCGAAACCTGCCCCCGGCCGGAGTCTCCGCGCCCGGATCCCCGAGAGCCCCGCACCCAGGCGCCGCCCACCCAGTTTCCATGAAGCCCGAGGCGACTCCCGGGGCGGCCGGAGCCCTGCCGGGAAGGGAAGCCGGCGGAGCCGCAAACCTGCGGGGAGCCACCCTGGGAGTTTTAGGCAGCGTTTTCTTTTCCCCATTTTTTATTCCTTAAATCCCACCCCAAACGCACCGGTTAGAGAAAACGCACCCTTCACGTCGGCGAGGAAGAAAAAAAAAAAAAAGTGGCTCAAGTAAATCTACTCGTGGTGGTAGCTGGAAGGGTTTGGGGGCTGCAGAGAAGCAAACTGTAAGTTTGATCCACAGACTTTCTTCTTTATATATCCTATCCCGCCAGAATGGGAAGGGGGTGTTGCAAAAAGCAACGACCGCCGTCCAAGTTTGAGCCTGCTTTCAAAATGGTGAAAGGCGCATTTCCATTTCACATCCCCACGACGACAGTAATGCTGTTTCTTTCCTTACCTGGGTACTGAGCTGCGGGGTCCTCCTCGGGATCCGGGTCCAGGAACTTGGAAGAATTGGTGATATTAGGTCCTCAGGACTTCTGGGGAGGGAAGGAAATGCAAGTGGGTTAGCCAGGATCGTTCCTGTCTGATTCGTCACTATTATTATATCTGATGATGCGAATGGTTGGAGCGATTCAATCTTAAGTCATTAATGAGCTATTTTATAAACGCCACTGCTGGAGGATCATTTACATTTTGCGAAGGATCACTTCCCTAACCTCACAGGCTTGTGTCAACAGCATGATTGCAGGACTTCAGTTACACTTTTATGAACAACACAGCCGTGTGGTTAATCGGTTAATATTTTATACAGTGTAAATATTTTATTATGCTTTG